AGGCAGATTAGGTAGACCAGAGAAGAAACAGAAACCAGGGAATAAATCACATATCTAATAAAGACAAACTCAGAAATAAGACCCTATAATTACCTCAAACTGAGACAACTAGAGGACAGTATAAGGATACAATCAACAAGAGCCAGGGCAATATGTGACCATGAGAGCACAGATATCCTACTACAGCAAGCCCTGCGTATTCCAACTCAATTGAAGCAGAAGAAAAAGACTATAAAACCAACTTTATGAAGCTGATAGAGTTCCTTAAGGAAGAAATCAATAAATCCCTTAAAAAAATCCAGAAAACAAACAAACAAACAATGGGAAGAAATTAAAAATTCCCTTAATGAAAGCCAAGAAGCTCAAAGAAAAACCACCCGAAAGATGTAGGAAATGAATAAAACTGTACAGGACCGGGAAATGGAAATAGAAGTAATAAAGTAAACAAAGGGTGAGGGAATCCTGGAAATGGATAATATAGGTAAGTACAGATAGAAGCAGAACAAAGAAGTACAGATAGAAGCATCACCACCAGAATACAAGAGATGAAAGAGAATCTCAGGCAGATAAGAAAGAATAGAAGAAATTAATACATCAGTCAAAGAAAATGGTAAATCTAGAAAATTCTTTACACAAGACATCAAGGCACTCTGAGACAGTATGAAAAGACCAAACCTATAAATAATAGAAATAGAGGAAGAAGAATCTTCTTCCCAGATAATATTTTTAACAAAATCCTAGATGAAAAACTTTCTAACCTAAGGAAGGACATGCCTATAAAGTTACAAGAAGCTTATAAAACAGCAAATAGATGACACAAGGAAAAAGTTCCCATGCAATATAATAAAAACCCTAGACATATAGAACAACTGGGACAGTGATAGGTGGGGGTTCCTGGGGACTGGTTGTGTCCCAGGGCCTAGGTCCTAGAGAGGAGACTCTCTGGGTGGGAGAAGAGTCATTCACCTCTTGGTCCAATGAGAGCTGGCAAATTCTGTTTGTCAGGAAGCCACTGGAGTCGCAGGGGGATAGGTAGGATTGGGGTAGGGCATGGGTCTTGTAGATTGCAGGTCTGATGGGGGGTTTTGGTGGAGGATCCTGCCCACAGGAGTCTACCCTGCTGTTAGGCCTGGTTGTGATTCCCTGCAGAAAACTGGTAGAGACTCCAACACAAAAACACATATAGGCAACTAAATGAAGCCTTTTTTTCTAGAATTAATTTCTACTCTATATGACAATATTGTAACAAAAGTTTAATATATATATTAATCTTATAACATTTTGATAAAAAATTTATACCATAAGAAAAGTTTAAAGAATCAAAATAGAATCAAAGAATTAGTAGTTAGACATTACAATAGAACTTGTAATCATATTAGGCATGTTTTCAAGGTCAAGCAGAGATATATTTTAGATAGACAGGTCATCTTCAAACCTTTCAGAGATCTACAGAATATGACATTTAAAATCTTTTAATAACTTAGAATTTTTTCTTTTTTTATGACTATGAGACATGTCAACTCCTGGCAGTACCAATCTACTTCAGAGAAGATATGAGCATTGAAGAAACTGCATATGGAGTTAACTTTTATTTTGGCAAAAGTTAGCCACTGAGCAAAAAAGTGTCCTTGAATCAACTGCTGACAAACAGGACAAAATAGACAGACATGACACAAAACAAAGGACTACCAATTCTTGCCAAGACAAGTGTGGTTGTGGCTTTAGCATCAGGCATCCTCTGAGGCCAGGACAAAATGGCACCATTCCTGAAGTAGCCTTTACAATCCAGAAAAGGTACAGTGCCCCTTTCTTTGAAGGCAGCTGAACAGGCAGTGGACCAATGGCTTCTGGTGTGTAGTGGAACAGTAGCTGAAACAGTTATTCTTGAAAGAGTAACTAGGCTGACAGAGTCTAACCTCTCAAAGGTAGGCTGACATTTAATAAAAGAGATGAAGCCACCCACAAGTTGAGAAGAATGGACAGCTGAATTCCAAAAACATCAATGATTTCTAGAATTTAAAATCCTGAATCATGACAGGACACTAGTGGAATTCAGGTATTTCTGGTACATGGACTACTCTCACCAAATGTGAAATCGAACTATAGGCCTTGTGTACATCCTACTTCACAAATGAGTCTGTCAGATACGCCAAGCCTATAGGCTGAAGATGATGCCCCAATGCTGCGGAGAAACCTCGGGTGACTGTCCAGGCAGCTGGATGTTTCTGTTAACTCACAATTTTTTTGGAAGCGGCTGCATGCACTTCCTGCTTTATTAGGTAATATTATTTCCTTCTTGGGTCTCTGAGGGAGTTGAAGATTAGATAGTTATGTTTATAGTTAGTTGAAAATTAGGTAGTTATAGTTATAATGAGTTGAAGATTAGATAGTTATAATTAAAGATTAGATAGTTATAGTTTTCCTTGTTAAGAATTTCAGAAAAGAATCTCGGTAAAGAGGTGTAAAGTGTATAAATTTGAAAGACATTATAATATAGTTCTCTGTTAGTAATATAACTTAGGCTAGAAAGTGAATCAGGTACATTTTAGACTTACCAAAATAGGATAGATATTGGAATATTTTCTCTGAGTTTGTCAAATGCAAATGGACTATACATTGTTTAGGTATTTATTGCTTGCATGTATTGTATATAGTTATTGTACTTATTGTATATAGTTTTTCTTATATTAGGTGTAACTTTTTCCCTTTTATTAGAGTAATAAGGGGAAATGTGATATCTTAATTGTGCTGAAATGTGATTTTATTTCTAAGTTAATAAATAAAGTTTGACTGGAGATCAGAGGTCCTCTCAAGCCAGGTACAGCAATCAGGCAGTTGTAGCCCACACCCTTAATCTGATTACATGGCAGGCAGAGACTCTGTGTGGTCAAGGACACAGCCACACATGATGACATGAACCTTTAATCCCAGTACCAACCATAGATACCAGGAGGCCTGTATAGACAGCCAGTGACGAGGAAGTCATGTGGCTGGGCTTAGAGCCAATGAGAAAGCAGAACAGGAAATCAATAAAAACACAAGTCAGACATCAGAAGGTCTCTCTCTTGGGGGAAGTTACTGCTATTGGTAAGCTAGAGCTAGGTGGCTCTTGCTCTGATCTCTTTGGCTTTAACTCTGTATTTGGCTCAGTGTTTCTTATTTAATAAGACTGTTTATAAATTTGTCTACAGATGTTATGCAAATTATAATGATAATACTTTCCCCAAGTGCCATGGATTACATAGGAAAACCCCAGTATCATGTATGAGAAACCCTCTCTCACATCATTGGTCAGGGTACTCCAAGCAACCGCCAAACAATGATAAGTATTGTGTCCCTTGATTGTCTCACAGAACTTAAAGATAGAATTATGTTATAGAAAGCACAATACACTTCAGACACAGGAAATGAAGGAATTTAAAAATTGACCTGGAACCTCTTCTCCGAGGAGTGGCTTTCATAAAGTGAAAACCTGCCAAGGGAGAAGAGCAATAACTGGGCTTATCCAGGTGTGATATCAGTGAGCAACAAAAATAAATTAAGTGGCAAGACATCCACAATGGTGCAATAATGGAACTTTCATCTAGGAGGTTTCAAGGGCTGTCTAATTGGACGTAAGGCATACTCAACAAGAGGGAAGCCATGTCTGGTACTGTAAACATAACAACTACTTGGGCCTGGAGAAGGCATAGATCCAAGAGGTGAACCTGCTACTCTCAGTTTCAGAATCCAGTATACTTTCTAGCTGTTCTCTCTCTCTTTCTTTCTCTCTCTCTCTCTCTCTCTCTCTCTCTCTCTCTCTCTCTCTCTCTCTCAACAGGGTTTCTCTGTATAGCTTTGCAACTTTCCTGGAACTCACTCTGTAGCCCAGGCTGACCTTGAACACTCAGAGATCCACCTGGCTCTGCCTCCCAAGTGCTGGGATTAAAGGCATGTGCCACCAGTGTCCAGCTTAGCTGTTTTCTTAATACCTATCTTTTACACCCAGATAAATATAGTTCTCACCTTCATCAAAGAAGCTTCTTTTTACAATATATGGAGACTATCACAAATCCCACAATTGATCAAAATGCAGAGAATAATTGACTGTAAGGGGCCTAACCCCAACTGATACATCTGCAATGAATCTATTCAAGCTAAGGCTTGGAAAAAAATCACTGAAGAGGGGACAGAAAGCCCCCAGAGTCCCAGAATCCCTATTGATGGGAAATATCCATTGGTTGTGACAGGGAAATATGCCTATGACCTCTCAATAGTACATTTATCCAAATGAACCAGCATAATTACACCAGTTGGTACACACATAGGACAGAGGAACTTCTACATGGTCTTACCCCAAGATGGAGGAATACAGCAGTCCAATGGCTGCTGAAAGAGGGAGAACCAGGAGCCTCAGGGTGAGAAATTCCATATTGGTTGTCCCAAGTGCTCAACTCAGGATTCATTCACATACAAATGGAACTAAAAGGACTCAGTTAGGTTATATGTACATGTGATCATATACACATACACATACAGAAACTGAAAATTAGAGACCATAAATATGGGAAAGGGGGAGGTATTGGAGTGGGAGAGGGAGGGTGGGAGTCATATAGTGTAGCTAAGTAACTATGAGTTTCTCAAAAACAACCACTACTTTAAAATAAGAATTGCATGTGGTAACATTTTGTTTGATCTCTAACTTTTCTGCACATTTGAAACCATTTTGAAGGATGAACTGTGTTAGAAAACATTTTAAATGAACCCCCAATTCAATCTCCTAGTATTTGTTATTGAGTTTCTCATTTGGGGTCATGAACTCAGACTCACAAATGCTGCAGAATGATATTTGAATGAGTTCACAATTGCTTAATCCAACAACCTTTGACTGGTTGTTACAATATTTGTTTCTTCATATCAGCTAGTTATAGAATGAACTGTGGAGTGTTAATTATTTCTTTTGACTGTACTATAAATTTTACCTCTCAAAATTTTCTACAAGCTAATGCTGGAATCCTAACAGCAATCACAAAGAGCTCTTTGCCATGTCAGACTACCTTTGGTTTGAAGAAATACCTTTCCCTGTTATAGGGTATAAAAAAGAAATACTTGAAGCAATTCATGATAAATTTGTGATCAGAGATGAAGACACAGTCATACTGACTCACCCTAAATCAGGTAAGGACTGTTAGTGAGGATGATCCTGAAGTGTATGAGGAAGGTTAGGTCTTTGATCCTCATTCATTTGAGCAGTGTTCCTGGGTGAACACTTTATATCTGATGTTTAAAATGTTTTGTGGGCCAATTCCAGAGAGGCTAGCTAACAGGGAAAGACCCTAGGAGGGACACATGGATGACCCTGTGAAGGAGAAGTGGGTGAGATCTACATGAGTGGACTGTGTGTGTGTGGGAGGGTGGCAGAGGGTGAGGAGTGGGGGATGAGAACATAGGGAAATGGGAAGGTCAAGTTGGATCAGGGACAGAATGGGAGGGCAGGAAGGAAGATACCATGATAGATGAGGACATCATGGGAATAGGAAGAGACAGGGTGCTGGGGAGGCTCTCAGAAATCCACAAGGTTAACCCCACCTTGGTCTGCTGGCAGTGGTCCAGAGGGTACCTGGACTGGTCTACTCTGGTGACCAGCCTAGCAAATAACCTAGCTGTCATCATAGAGCCTTTGTCCAGTGACTGATGGAGGCAGATATAGAGAGCCATGGCCAGGCACCAGGCTGAGCTCAGGGAATCCAATTGATGAGAGAGAGGAGAGATACTGCAGGCAAGGGACGTTGAGATCATGATGGGAGGACGTGCAGAGATGACCGGTGGCTGTGGAGCCCCCATGGGACTGGAATAACTCCTCTGGATATGGAAGACAGTTGTTTGGCCCAAACTGTTTGGGCGGCACCCAGGCAGGGGTAAGGGATCTGTCCCTGGTGCATGGGCAGGCTTCTGGAACCCGGTGCCTGTGGTGTGACACCTTGCACAGCCTTAGTGAAGTGGGAAGGGGCTTGGACCTGCCTAGGCTCAGTGTGCTGGGCTCTGCTGACTTTCCATGGGAGACCTCGATTTGGGGATGTGGGGATGCAGGGTGGCTTGGGAAAGAGGGCTGAGGTGTGGGAGGAGGCAGGAGGGGGGATCACCAGATAGTATGTGGAGTGAGTAGAAAATTTCTTTTTTTTTT